TATCATCATCATCATCACCATCGTCACAATCATCATCCCCATCGTCATCAGCAGCATCATCAGCACCAGCATCATAATGATGATCAACATCATCCTCATCAGCAGCAGCATCGTCGTCGTCATCAGCATCAGCAGCATCATCATCATCATCGTAGGCAGCAGCATCATCAGCATCATCATCAAAAACAGCAGTGTCCGCATAATCATTATCGTCATCATGGTCACCATTGTTATCAGCATCATCATCATCATCGCCATCATCATCATGATAGTCATCATCATAATCAGCGTCATCAGAATCAGCGTCATCATCAGCATCACCATCGTCGTCATGCGCATCATCATCATCATCAGCAGCAGCAGCAACAACAACAACAACAACAACAACAACAATCATTTTACCCGAACGCGTGGTGTTCTCCCCAGTGCCAGGGTTTTCATACGACACCAGGCAATACCCCCACTTCGTGGGGGGGCATTACAAGCTCTACCAAATATCCAAACGACTCTTCGCGACCACCCAAACCCAGCTTCCCGCCCTATGACGTTGGGACACTTCACTTCGTGGCGTGCGGACGACCGTGGCTACTACACTGGCGTGGGGTACACACCCACAGAACTTGGTCACTTATTCGGGGCGCGCATGTGCCCAGCATGGTGCAATTGTGCCATGCTGGGCACATGCGCGGATGGTATTATTTGACAGGGATGATGGCCCTGGCAGGTGCGCAACCGTTGTCGCAGAAGTTCGAAAAAGTTGCTCGCAAAAGCCCGTTTGACAGAAATGTTTAAAAAGTGTTGGGTTTCCTACGAATCCGCAAGAGCGCGCGGGATGAGATTTTGACATTTTTTTGTTGAAAAACCATTGGTTTTTTGATGTTTTTATGTTAAAATCGCTCCGAACACTAAGCTTTTGGAAGGATTTCGTCTTGCGCGCGCGAATGTCCACTTTACCTTATTTTTTGCAAGGGATTCTTGAAATTTGATTATATTAGAACAAGAAATGTCATTTTATAGTGTTTTTTTGCAAGGGAAAGCGGGGGGGAACAAAACAACCGGATCTGATCACATCGTTACCTGAGGCTTCCTCACGAAAATGATGAAAATGTAGCTGCGGCCTAGGCGGCGCAGGGGGGGCGTGCACCAGGGGGCCCAACAATAATTATTCTTTAGAATAAATAATGTTCAACAACAACAACAACAATTACTAGCACGTGGGGACACTCCGTTCTCACCAGTGCCAGGGTTTTCATAGGAGGC